TGAGCAATAATGGGATAAATGAGAGCTTTTACTGTGGTCACATTACTGTGATGGAGTAGTTTTGTTGGAGTGTTATTTCTCAAATTGGTGGCATATTTCAGATAAAGAAAGGAAGTTCCCTTACTTGAAACTGCTGTGTAATTTCTTCTTCCTTAACTGAAATTCCAACCAACTTTCAGGAAATGCCCTAATGAGCCACTTCTCTTTTCTCTTTTCTCAACTAAGTGGATTCCAACCAGCCCAAGTTATTCATAATCAGATCGTTTACGTTGGTTGTCTCTTTTGGCATGGTGCTTATGTTTTGGGAAGAGGGATTATAATTTGGTGCTGTTTGTAGAGGTGATAACACTGATAGAATCCAATCGTTGCTGGTAGGTAACTAAACTGGCAGGTTAATTTTCTGTACTTTAAACAAACTCGGAAGACGAGTCTAATCAATACTTATTTTACTTTGATATGTGTGGCTTTCTTATAATTATGATTTCATTTGCATGATCACTACTGGCTATCAGGATATTAGAGTAGTCAAGCTAGGATTTGCTGTAATTTGGATAAAATATATATGAAACTCTATTAATTTCTTTTCATCAAGATGGAGAAATCACTGTTTTAGTTCATGATAACCAAAGCGATTTCTTCTTCCAGTTTAATATTCTTAGATATTTACTAAATTGGAACCTGATTAACACTTTATTGCAATTTATATGTTATTTTTTGAGTAAATGTTAATTTTTGTTTACATTTTAGCAATATATATTTCATTGGCTTCATGAGTACTGTTCATAGCAGAAATAACACCAGATAGGACTTTAGCATTTGTTATTTTTCCAGAGTTAAAAATTCTGCTTCTTTTTTTAAATGAAGTTTTAGATTCAGAAAGTTTGCATAGAAGATATAAAGTAGCCCAAAACAATAACTTTTTATAGTAACAGTTTTCAATTATAATAATTAGAATTAGAGTAGGGACTTAAAGATTATACATATATCTGTATATATACACACATAAATATGCACATATATTTTATATGTATTTATTTATATGGATTATAATCTCATTTTAATATTGTTTTAAAATGTTTCATTGGAAATAGACATTTTGAGGAATATAAACCTTAGGTAATCTTTAATTCGTTTTAGGTAACTAATTAGTAACTTATTTACTAGAAACTTTATTTAACATTAAGAGACTTTAAAATAACTTCATGATTCCTCTCTGTTCAGAAACTGTGACAACAAAGCAAAGTGAAACAGAATGTTGGGTTCATTATCAAGATTATTTAATTTTGCTTCACTTCTGCTTTAGATGAATCTGAGCGTAGTTTATACTTTTCAATAGCTTTGGAATTAATATTAAATCTTTTACTTTTTTGGTGAAAGCTATCTTAAAGAAGCCAAATTTGTGATTTCCACTTAAAGAATAAAAAAATCTTTTTTTTAGCAATAAAACAAATGGAAAATATATATTCCATGTATGTGTGTATATATATATATATACATATGTATTTCATCTTGTCTATTTCTTTGGTCTTAATTATTATTATTATTATTTTAATTTTCAGTTTCTTTCCAAAGTAGTAGAATAGTTCAATGTATGAGTAATTTTGTTGAACTGAAACTTGAAGCTGATGTCAAAAAATGAAACAAGCTAGAAAATGTTTCTTAAAAGTCAACTTAATTTTAATGACTGTTATAAGTTATAGATTGCCAAAACAATTATGAGGCATTTAAATATGATTCAGGTTTCTAGCATAAGTAAAATGTCCAGAAATTGTGGTAATTAACACAGTGGAAATGGAAAATACTTTTGAAAACAGTGGTTTGAATAGTTAAAAAGAAGAAACAAGGAAAAGAGAAACAAAAAAAAAGAAATATTGTTAAACAATGGTTTCAAATATCTAATGAAATCTGATTCAAAAGGAATGATGATAGATATTGATAAAATAATAAACATGTTATATGCATGGAAATGCAATCATTCAATTCTTTATAAATCAATGTACAAATAAAATTATCTGAAATCAGCTAGACATGCCAGATTCTTCATGGAGATAAATTTAATTAATTCTTATAGTAAAAAATATTAAACAATGGAGTGATAGTAGATTCAGAAAGGTAATGTTTACAAATAGCAGATTGCAAATTTTATATTATTTGGCAAAACAAAACAAACATATAGTGCAAAATATAGTTTAAAAAAATACATAGTTTTGTGCAAGTTTTACTGATTATGTTTACTAAGGTTAGAAAGAAGAGTCTGTGAGGCATAGAGCAGAGGATGTATGAGGAAAGTAGGAAGAATCGTATGTGTCCTCCAAAACATAACTTTAAAGGAGGGAGAACTTAACAGTAATCTTAACAGTAGAAAATATAAGAAAAAACTAAAATACAGAAATGTTCCTTATTTTATAGAGTTGTGAATTAAGGAATCTGTTGGGTGGGGTATAAGGTTGGGATGTAGATGTTTGGAGATATACCCACATTCGGCAGGTATTACTTTGCCTATGAAAGCTTAGAGGATGATAGGTAATTTTGTGATTTTGTTAAATTGCATTTATTGCAGTTTAGAAATTCTCAGCCACTTACTCATCAACAAAAAAAGAATATGAGAATTCTTTGAGAATTACAGGTGGTTTATGTTAAGCCTTAGGAAAATTGGGGGAATCTTTATTATTGAAAAGTGAAATAGTAAGATAGGTTTTATGGAATTTTGTCAGGTGACCATTTTAAGAATAGATTGGTTAAAGAGAGAAAGTCCTTATTCCCGATTTTGTAATTACTCTCAGAATAGAGCAGGAGGTTGAGCCTAATGATCTTGAAGACCCATTAGGTTGCTTTTTTTTTTTTTTATCTCCAGGTTTGAAATAAGTAAAAATTCAAAAATAAGACTAAAAAGACAGTTGAAAGGAATGGGTCTAGGAAGTGGAAACTGAATTTTAATAAGGATTCCTATGCCTCTTTATATTCATTCCTAAGAATTACCATAGAAGAGTATTTCCAAATCATCTCTTGCCTTTCCTGAAACACTCCTCCTCAGCCTGAGTAATAGAACAAATTGTGATTCACTTTCTAGTTTCTTCCACTGAGCCAGAGAATCCTTCCATCCCTCTGTTCCTTTCTTTATTTCTTGTGGTATAAACATGTTTCCAATACAGAATTTCATATGCACATGAACAAATTAAGTTTAAAAGATATTCAGCTTCCTTTGATGTATTTCCATTTGGATGATAATTTGAACCAGAGCTCTCTATCTGTTCAGTCGGATATTTTGCTGTATCCTTTTCCCCATCTTTGCTAAAAGTCATTCCCTCAAACATGTTTCCCTACTCCCCCCAAATCAATACCTACTACATTGGAAACCTGATGGGTAATGATCTCAGCTAGTGTCTGTAGGGAATTCTTTGTCAGCTAAGATGTTTACAGTCTGCTCCCTTTCGTCCTGCACAAATTCAAATGGTCTTGAAAGTACTGAACCATCTGAGGTCTGCAACAGTTTTGTAAGCAGCATTTTCTTACCACCCGACTTTAAGTTCTGGTAAACTTTTAATGTTTTTCTCCACTTAGTCAATCGCTTTTCTTCTTCTATAGCTTGTTATTTTCCTTCACATGTGTAAGGCACTTTTCACATGATGGATGATTTGCTCTCTTTATATCAAAATCATAACTACCATTGAAGATTTTTCCCATAAGCATTTACTTCTTTACTTTCTCTCTGCTCTCAAATTTTAAAACATCTATTTTTTTTTAAATTGTAAACAATGATTTTTTTTCTTATTAACCTTTTGAACACGTAACATGTAGGGTTATACAGTGTTTGAAAAACTGAGCATATCCATTTAAGTGAAGAAGCAAGCAAGGGAGTCTGCCCAGTGAGATAACTGATGACACCATCTTCTGGAGAAGATAGAAAATGTGTGATTTTGCCTTCTAAGTTGAAGGTGTATAAGTAGAGGAGTATACCTGGTGCTATACTAGATTTTGAGGATAAGATGCATGAGCTATGTTACCTATTAATGAGCAGTTGAGGCATTTCAATAATTAATCACACTGAAAAGTGTTATAATAAAAGTACGTATGAATTCACTATGAGTCTGGGGTTCAAAGAGATAAAAAATAATTAGCTATTCTCAGGGCAGGCAAAGGGAGGAGAAAGGCATCAGACCAAAACTAGCATGTGCAGAGTTGTGAAAAGTATGGCACATTCAGAGTTCTTTATTACAGTGTGAGATCATTGTAGGGAATAACATAAAATGGGGCTGGACAGTTAAGATAGGGACAGACCATAAAAGCTATGCTTTTAAGGGTCATAGGATTTTAGCAAGGGGAGCAGCTTGATCTGATTGTGTTTTAGCAGGATATCTCTGGCCATTGGGGACAAATATTGGAGGGATGAAAGACTAGAGTCAATTCTAGATTTTGTTTATAGAATGCTCTTGAATCTGTTTTAAGAGAGCAAGGACAAACATCTGTTTCTGGATAATACTTTGCAAGTGGTTGCACCTCTGGAAAGAATAGAAGACAAAGACAAGTATTTTGCTAAAAATATGATATAACCTACTTCATAAGAAAATCAAAGGTGGTGGACTGCTATTTTTCACTGTTGAAATAACCACTTAAACTGAACATGGATTAGCTCCCAATCAGTGGGCCAAACAAATGTTTGCATGTGATTCAGTGATTTCTTTGTGGTTGCTTGGTTTAGTGCTGATAGAACACACTGTGAAATAGGAAGTTCAGCATTTTTAGCTTGCTACTAACTTGCCATGTGACTGTGAATAAGTCTCTCTCTCTCTCTCTGTCTCTCTCTCTCTCTCTCTCTCATCTCTGTGTGTGTGTGTGTATTTCCTGACTATTTTAATTTGTGGTGAGTGGAATGGGACCGGGACTGAGTGTGAAGGGTGAGGGGTCTGGTGGTGGTAAAGTTTAGGTTTCCTGTTCCTGAAGAGTAGTTCTGAATTTATTCCTGGGGTATCAAACTTATATTAGATGTGGGAGCTCTAAGATTGGAAATCCAGCTCAGAGCTCAAAGGTAGGACCTTTCTCCTTCTTCCTTTGGGATCCATAATCTTACATTTTGGACAGATTTTTAGAGTATGAGACATAACCATAGGCTACTATTTCACATATCTGGCCTTTTCCTTCTCAATATCTTCTCCTGAAAACAGCCTCAGAGGACTCTGCCTTAGGACAGAACTCTCAGAGCAAAATGAAGTATAGGATGAAGCAACTCTGCATAATTTGGGAAGTGATCTTTAATTTATCTTTTCTTCATAGATACTCTCTACTTTTCTATATTTTCTAATAATGTATTGCCAATTAATTTGCAATTCTATTTGTTCGAACATAAAATACTGAGTGTATTAAACTATCTAAATTCACTTATATTCAGTCCTATTGAACATATCCAGTAAAATGTATGACAAACTTTTATTAGTTGCTTAAGATGTATTTATCTAAAGACAAAACAAATGACAACAATAACAAAATAGCGAGCAAAGATATTCCAGATTACACTAGGAAAAGGAGAGAATTTATAAAATAAATGCATAAGCTAAAATATTAAGTTCTCTACTGGGGGATAACTGGGAGTCGGTAAATGTTAACTAATCTACTTGAGTAGCAGTCACCTTAGAGGAGTTTTAATGAGTATTGATATCAGCTATATTACACAAAATCTTCTTTTCTCTTCTCTTTTCTTCACCAGTTGATAATAGCTAACATTGATTGGGCTCTCATCTGGTACTACAAGACTTTACATGTATCATCTCATTTGAGCCTGACAATACCCTTGAGGCAAGTGCTGTTAACTTTATTGTTAAGAAGAGAAAAGTGAGGCTTACAAAGGATAGGTAACTTTCCCAAGGTAACCAGTGAGTAAGTGACGCAGCAGGGACTTTAATCGAGGTCTGCATGGTGCTTAGACATAGGTAAATTATATAATCATTTTTTGACTACTTTTAAATTTAAACTTTGTCTTTGTCATTCTATTTCATTCGTTTTGAACAAATACCCATCTCTATAGCAGGAGGAGACAGTGCAAGGGTGAAGGTTTGGGGAAATCAGAAAGCATAGCTTTGCTAAAAATGGTTAGACTTACATATGGATAACGAGGTCTTTGACTGTATTAGATTTGCAAAAATAGCAGTTGTAGAAGTAACTAGGGACCAGAATAGGTGGCTCTATTTCATGAAGGAAAGGAGCAAAGTGAAGAGACTCATTAATGTTGAAGCAGTAGATGGATAACCGGTGACAAATATCAAGTAGATTTGCTTCAGTTTGGTCATAGAAAGGTCATTGATTATTTTTGGTTAAACCAGTTCACAGAGGCCAGGTCTCCACTAAAAAAGGGAATTAATTGCTTCCATTCCCCACTAATTGCCTCAACATTTCCCTTTGCTTTGTCATTGGAGATTTGGTCAGCGAGGCAAAAAGTCAAAAGTCAGAGTTTGATGGAATCTACATAAAAAGGAAATCTGAGGAGACCAAATTATGGCATTTGGTGTAATAATGATAATGGTATTTAGCATTTTTTCCTGGGAGTGCTGTGGATTTTTAGAGACCTTTTCAATCTTTAATCAGACTGTAGGGCACATTTAAGAGAGTTCACTGTTTTTATTTCCATCTAGAGGATAAGGCATCACAGAGAGATGAACTGACCTAGGGCAAGTCTCCTGAGATGTTAATCCTGCGTGTTGGATTATACCCTACTATGTTGAGTTTTAGCTGAAAGCCTGGGCTCGTCCCAGAGGTATCATTCATTCATGGTCCTTCGAAGTCTTTAGGCTTTTGTACATTATTGTCTGAAATTACTACTTCTATCAAGGACAATAAAATCAACCAAGGAAACAACTCAAAAGGTTTTAATGTCATAACAATTGCTTTGTTTGTAGGCTGTTTATTGATGCTCCAGCCATCTTCAATTAACAAGACATTCTATTTTGTACTTGTTGAATTAACCAGTCTCTGAAATCCTTTCTAGCTCTAAGTCCTTTGGAATATGTGAGTTTTATATTTCAGACTTGTTTATTTTTTTTTTTTTGGAACCCAAAGTGGCAATTTAGAAAGTGGAAAGAACATGAGCTTTGGATATGATAGGCCAATATTCAATCATTTTGGCTTCTCTGACTTACTTGTAAATACCTTCAGGGGCCCAATAAACAATTTTTTTAGGAGTTCCAAATCTGCAATATCAACTACCCTACATTGCTAGTAGAATCAGAAGTATGTTATTATTAATTAAACAAGTATTAGATTATAAATTCTTAGAAACATGATGAATTAGAATAAACATAGGTTTTAAAGTAAGATGGTTAGGTTTTAAAACAAGCTCTGTCATAACTAGCTGTTTGATCCCAGAAAGTTCAAGTAATTTGATTAAAACTCAGTTTCTTCATGTAAATCTGACATATCTCATTGGGTTTCATGGTTATTAAATGTGAAAGTGAGAGGAAAGCACCTAGCTCAATGCCTGCATAGACAGGTACCTAGAGATTTTAACCATATACTTATTAGTATTGTTATTAGAAATTATAGAAATATTAAATGATAAAACTTTTAATTAGAGCAAGACCAAGCAAACATAAGATGTTGGTATAAAAGAATTTTGGTACTTTATAAAAATACTTGGTTTGAGTAAGATGCTCTCACAGTTATGGTGAATTTGAGCCAGATCATCTTCCTCTGGTCAGATGTCTCTCTACAGCAAGCCCTTCTTACCCTACCCTATTGAAAGTGCCATGCTCTCATTAAGTTATTTAATAATAAGAATAATCCTAGGAATTGAATAGTATTCTTGCAGATAATACAGATAAGAGTATTTACATCCTGAGAGAGAAATATTTGGTCCAAAGACACATAACTTGTCAGTGAGAAGCTCATGTTTGAAACCAGGTGGGATAATTCCCAAATCTGCAATCCTAACTGTGCTCTACCAATACTTTTGAAACAACAGACTGCAATTCAAAATTGTTATTTGTGCAAGCTGAGTAATTAAATCACCTTCACCTTCATTTTAAAATTATTTAAATGGATTATTAAAACTTATCTTTTTTCAGACAAAAATGGCTATTCACACTAAGAATGGAAAACCATTATAAACATGTCATCAAACCCTATACTGTGTTCTTTCTAAGTGTTTTAATTAATCTCAAAGAGCCCATTCCCTTGTAAAGACACATGCCTCAGTCCTCTAACCAAGAAACCTTAGAAGCTATGTGTATGGGTCCTTCTGGCTCCTATGGTGCTTTTCTCTTATCCGCCCCTCCCCCTTGCCTCCCTTCTGTAGCTCTCAGGCAGGCCCAGAGAGCCTTTTCTCCTCTGTGTTGAAACTGAGGACCAATTCTGAAGAGAGCCCTAATTGTTAAACTAGTTGCTCACAACTTTTTTGGCTTGTTTCTCTTTTATTTTAAAAATTATTTTTCAATTACAGTTGACATTCAATATTGTTTTATATTAGTTTTAGGTGTACAGTGTAGTGCTTAGACATTTATATAATTTATGAAGTGATTCCCAACTTGTTTCTCTTAAACAATGTAACTTAATAAAAGTCCTGTCAAATATATAAACAGGGCACACCTACTAAAACAGGAAGAAGTAAAATTGTGTATACATGGAAAACCTGGTTTGACTGTTTTGATTAACTTGACTGCTCAAGTCAGTCAAGAGGTAATCACCAGTTAAGCAAACTATTTTGACAGATTTTTGGCCCACTGTGACTGCATATTTGACTGGCTTCCCTGTCAGGTTTAAGTGGTCAGATTGACTGGAGACAATCTAACTAGAAAATTTAACTTTGGAGGACGTGGGTGTCTGTATACCAGAATCTACTTTAAATAACATTATTTGAAATCTGTAACTATTTTTCTGGGACCAGTGAGAGAAGTTTGAAGGTGACGCATTGCAGCATTTGACTTTCTAGAATGAGATGTCTTGCTGCTTGCTAGAGCTGGCAATATATTTATAGGCTGAAAAACAATCACATTTTCCCCAATGCATATACAGAGTTCAATAAGAATGAAACTCTACTCTAACTTGGTCAAATCCTAATAAGGCATCGTATTCTCTAACTCTTCTGAAGGGCTGATGACAGATGTATGACAGCAAATGACTTCTCAGATATCAGGTTACCAATTCAGTCATTAATGACTTGTGGTAAGGCAAAGTTGACCTTGCCACTAATAGTACTCCTTCTAAGAAAAAGAATTCATGAAAGAAAGAAACAAAACAAAACAAACAAAACACCAAACAAAACCTTTGCTGAGGCAAGAGAATCAGATCGACATTATTATCTGAGCTGCTTTTTAAAAGCAAGCCCCTTTATATATCTGTGCTTATGTTCCTTTAGGAAATTTACTTTGAAATGAGCTTCCAGGTTTGGGTAAGACAAAAACACCACCATAAAGACACAGAGGATGATTTATGCTCACATTTATGGGGAGAACATAACAAGGTTATTGTCTGCTGTAAGCACATTGTTATAAGGTCTGGTTTATATTGGTTGAGTATCTTAGTGCATTTATACTGAGATTTTGAAATATCCTATTATTGTTTGAAAGACATTCATGTGCTGCTTTCCAACACTCCTAAAATTCTAACTTTTCCCATGGAAGTGTTTTGGAAATGTTCAGGACTTAGATGCTATCTTATGTACATTTATTAAATAGGTTCAGTGGTAAGACTAGATAGAAATTAGGGCCAGAGTTTCAGTAATGAATAAAATGATGACACTTCTTAAAATAGTTTGCTTAATAGTCATATTTTCTCTTATGTTAGAGTCACTTGATGTATCATTCTATTTTTTTAATTATGTGATTAATAGAGGGAAAAGTAGCTTACTTTAGCTTTGCTTTCAAAGTTTATACTTTCTAGTCATTTATGATGAAGTGTTTTTAGTAATAAAGCCCTTTGACCTCAGTAAAAATGAAAAGTAAATTAAATCTCACAGTTTGAAGAATGCTATAGTGAGTCCATCAGGGCATATGCTTAAATTTTATACGTTCTCTACATTATAGAATCATTACTAATAATGTT